TACGTCGTTAAAACAATATAATTTCATATTAACATCAATGTTTAAAATCTTTAAGCAAGGTATAAATATTAAATTTAATATTTTCCTATTTAAAATTAATATTCATAATTCAAATTTCAATTGAAAAAAATAATAGAAAATATTTTCATTTTAAAATCAATGTTTAAAATGTTTAAATATAGTATAATAATTAAATTTACTAGCACCCTAATTAAAATCAATATTCATACTTCATTATTTCAGTTGCTAGAAATCTTTCTATTCACAATTTTTCCAGTGCACATATAGATGTATTTCTTGCGAATTTTTGTCGCAGCGCTCAATAAATAAGTAAATGCAGGCCAAAGTGCAAAGACAAAGACAAAGAGCCCAGGTGGGAAAGGTGAGAAAAAGTGAGACAGGTGAGCCGGGTCTGCGACTTCGGTGACGTCAGCGATTGGAAGGTGGGGCGGGTTCATCAACAGGGCCTAATGGATTTTTTTTTAGCCACCTAGCCTGCAGTGGCGACCTTCGCGCCAAAGGGGCGATGGGTGGCGGTTGGTGGGTGGTGCAGGGTGGCTTTTCACATTATGCATGCAGCTGCCGCAAGTAGCAGGAAAAGCTGGAAAAGCAAAGCCAAAGCAGAAGCCGCAGAAGCAGAAGACGAAGCACGTGCAACTTTTACTTTCATTCGCTTTGTGTTCGTTTCGTGCTTCGATTTGCCGGCGAGTTCAAGGTCGCTGCCGCAGGAGGTGGTGGGTGGTGGGAGGTCGAGAGGTCGGGGGGTGGTGGGTGGGCGGCAGTGGCCACTAGTGCCTCCACTAATTGGTGCCCCTTGCGGTAAAGTTGTGTGCGAGACGCCTTTCTTTCTGCAGTTTACAAGCAAATCTCTTTCGTAGCCTACTTTCCTGCGCCCCAAGGAAAGGCTTTCATTTCGCAAAAAGGCTCGCCAAATTTGAATTAATTTCGGTAGCCAAGAAATTAGCTAAGCCAGATGGTAAACACTTGGCAAAGCAATCAGTTTAATTGAAGAAAACTTCCTCGACTTTCCTAATTGTGATATACTTTTAAATGCTTTAAATTTATTTATCTGATTATCCTGTTTACACATCTTAAATGGTGCCCTAACCTTTAAAGACGTAATATTCGGTTAACATTTTCAGGTGTTTCAGTTGGTAAAATGAAAATATACTCTACATAAATGCCCCATAAATATCTTAAAATAATAGTAATGATGTACAAGAATAACATACCTAAATATTTTATTAAGCTTCACAAAATTTTGCTTTTATCTCTTTTAGTTTGCAATGTGTTCTTTAATTGACTTTAAATGTTTAGACAATATTTTCTACAATTGATCTTTTTTAATGAGCAATAAATCTTTGTTTATTTACAAAAAATTTGTAATTAAAATGGCTAAGAGCATAATATTCAATATTCTATAAATAAATAGTAAAAGGAAATATTCACTTGAGATTCCATGTCTAAATATGATCAATAAATACGGCATTCATTTTTTCATTAATGCTGAAAAGCAAAACTCTTTCATGAAACCTAAAATAAAACAAATTATTTGTTTATTTGAAGAAACTGGAACTGATTCTATAATAACTTTGTAGGTCAACCCCAGTAGTGTTATAATAATAATACAATTTCCAACATTACTCGCCGGTAAATACTATTTAATTGCATATTCCTAGGCACCTATTCAAGTGCTTTGGAATCGCTGGAGAATTATTCAGCAAAAAAAAGGGAAAATGGCATTACCGGCATCGAATAATTAATAATTACCCCATCATTAGGCGGAGGCACAAGAAGTCACATATAAAAATGCAAATCACTTGGCATTGGACCCACGCACACACACAGAGACACCCAATTGCAGTGGGCGAAATGGAATATTGTTTTGTCCTCGCCAAAAGGCCTTTACACTTGGCCCAAAAACAAGAATCGAAAAACATGCTGGAAAAAATAAGTTGCGAGTGGCCAATTCAATGAGTTCTCCTCCCAATTCTCTTATCGCTGTGCAAAGATCGCCACAAAGGCCATGTTACGAAATTATTGGACACACACACACTTTCGCACACCCACACACACACCAAGGAAAAAAGAAAGTAGCATGTGTGTGTGGGGACATGCAATGCAAATAGTCAACACGCCGCCACATGCCGTGCACACAAATCAAGGGCAACATGTCTCATTCCGGGTCTGTTCCCACGTTGGGATATACGCAGGGGGGGGGGGGGTGATGGGGGAGTGTTGGGTGGTGGGTGGTGGCCAGTGGGCGGTGGGGTGGCGAGGTCGCCTTGCCGGGCAATTTAAATGGCGGCTACATGTCGCAGCGCTGGCGTCGCGTGTTCTCGCTCTCACTCTACCCACACCTAAAGTCCTCTGCCGCTACACTGCGAGAAATATTTTAGAAATGGAAAAAAAATTTGAAATATGTGTGAAGTACATATTTCATTGGTTCTGGCAAAAGGATATCCCTTTCTTAAACACGAAATGAAATAAAACAGAATTTAAGAAGAGGTGTGTTAAAACATTAAGGATCCCTTATATTATTATTTCAATTATTTATCTTACTGACAAGAAAATATATGAATTATTGGTAAGAAGATATTTTTTCATATTTATCCTTTCCCTTAAAGTGGTCAAGTTTATATAATTTGTAAAGATTATTAAGGGTAAATTTTAGTTTTTTCAAAAATTGATTTTTTTGGATTATTACTGATTATTACTTAAAATTGTTGCTAAGTAAATTCATTTTTTTTTTTGTAAAATATCTTATAAAAATTTGAAATGTTTGAGGTTTTTGAACAGAAATCTCCCTATATAGAAAATCTGGTTTTGGCAAAGATATTTCTTAAATAAAAAAATATTTTAACAAATTCTAGATTGTCATTTTGTCACCTTGGCCTTCCTACTTAACCTCTCGAATATTTGAGTACATTATTTGAATAAATTTCAAAAATATTTTCCATGACTTTTCTCTCAGTGCTCGCCTTTTTTGTCGCCCACGTGTTGGCCACTAAAAAGGGGGATAGCCACCAGCAATGAGCGGGTGTGCGAGTGTGTGTGCCTTGCCAATTAACTGAAACTGCAGAGTAATGTTTTGGGGCCAAGTCAGTACTCCCGATTTCGACCGCCCCCCACACCGCCCCCTATTCCATTATAATATTCGCTTTCTGTTATTGTTCTCTTGTTGCTATTTCGCTGTTTGTTGTTTGTCGCTTCTGGCATTGACATAAATTCTTTTTTAGCAGCAAAGAAACAACAACAAAAAAAAGCAGAGCAACAAAGGGCACAGTCCACAGCGACACGCAAGCCACATTAAAGCAATTCCACACCCCATTCCAGGCCCCCAAAACCAAGGCATTACATAAAAGCGGTAAATATATGACAAAATAAACCAGAGTCCCAAAGTCAAATGGGGCCACAAAGGTATGGTATATGTGGGGTAGCAGCTGTCAAAGGTCCACCAGTTCAGAGTTGAGAGCAAACGCTGATTTGTGCTGACCTAGGGCAATTAACAGAGCCATTGAAAAGAGGATACTACAGGATACAGATACTATTTCCTCGGGCACGGTGGCGTATACGTAATGTGGCCTATCTATAGGAATAGCTCTATAATTCAGGGGATGACACCCAGATCTGGGTAGGACACTGACTTATGCTGGCTCCAGTTAGACGCTCAGATGACTACGCATTTATTTCTCAGCCTCTACCCCTCCCAACTTTTCAGTACTTGTTTTTTGCTCCCAAAGTTCTTCTGTTTTTTTCCTTTTTTGGCCAGAGTTTGGAGCTGGCGCCGTCTACTGTCTGTTGATTCAGATTCGGTTATAGATTCTGGATTCGTTTACGGCTTCTGTGTCTGACTTTCGGGCATTGACTTGGCGGCAACTTGGCTCTGTCTCTGACCCCAAGCCAAAAAACCATATATTTTGCATTTTATTTCGGCGTTTTCCCTCTGTTGCGGACATTACGCATACGCCCTGTGGGCTGGCTAAATCTCTGTGAGCAGGCTGATTACACCCATGTGACACTTGCGCAGAATTGTTGCAAAGTGGCAATTAGCAGGAGAACATTATCATCTATGAAACGATAATACTATATAACAATTTAGAGAACTTTAGGTAGGTTACTTCAAGGTGTCACAATAATCTTTTTAGATACAAGTCGTTAAGTCAGGTTCTTAAATATTAATGATATTTGAAAAGTAAATATAAAAGTTGCTGAAGCAAACTGTTGAGTTTATAGAATACTATTATTGAGAAAATCATCAAAATTGCTATGAACTTAAATTTAATTAAATAATTTATATGTATGTTTTCCAAAATTTAAATAATATCCAATATTATAAAGCCAAATATAAGCAAGTAATTTAAATAGTATTTAAAAATGAAAGCATTGCATACCAATTATATTTTAATAAAGCTAGTCGAATTAATATCTTAAAATTGCTTAAAAATATACTTTATGAAACAAAGAACCCGGAAATAAAGCCTTAATATCTGAAAACATGTTTGTGACACTCCTGAATATTTTAAATCAGTTTATATAAACATATAATTAACTAAATTAAGGATCAATAATTCTTAAAAACAGTATATTATAATTGTATACCTTTCAGTATCTACCACAATAAAAGATACTGCAAGAAATACTGCATTTTCACCCAGTGTCACAGGGGCATAAAATCAAAATTAAACATTGGGTGCTTTGGGGCATGGGGAATACGTATCAACAAGGCGAAAAAGCATTGGAAAGCGATAAAGCAAAGCGGTATTCAAAGCTAATTAAAAAACTATGTGTTTGCAGGTATTCTTAATCATTTTATTTAAATCGTTACAAGCGAGAAACTGAAAGAAATGGCAGCGCGTAAATCAAATGGCAAGAGAAGCACTTGTTTTGCTGCATAAATTTCATTAATATTCGATCTTTTTTTTCTCATTTTTGGTTTCATATATTCTGAGGTGAGGCTTAAGAGCGGTGGGTGCTTTTGGATTTTTGGTGATGGGTACTTCTCATAGGGGTTCTCGGGTCCCTTGTCCTTCTTCTTGCTGGCCGCAGGCGTGCTCTTCCGGGGTCGATTCATCATGGGATCGTCCATGGTGCGCGAGTTTTGCTGTCGCGTGTGGGCCGGCGGTCCAGGTGGTTTCTTTTTCTTCTTTTTCCCGGCCTCCAGTTGCAACGGATTGAAGGCGAACTGCAGATGTTGCTGGTGCTGCTGATGTTGCTGTTGGAGTTGCTGCTGCTGCTGCTGTTGCTGCTGCTCGCGGCGCTCGAGGAAAGCGGCATTCGCCGAGGCCACCGTGGCTATCCTCTGCTGCTGCTCCAGATCCTCCAGCTCCTTTTCCCGCTTCTTGGTCATCTGAACTATCTGCGAACTGCGACGTCTCAGGGCGGCTGCATAGGGTGTGGGCGTGGCCACCGCCGGCATTACTTCACCCACTCCAAAGAGTCGACGTATGCGCCGTCGACTGTTGATGAAACCCAGTCCCAGTTGGACACCCAGACCCAATCCCGATCCCGAAACCGTGGCAGCTCCCACTGGCGCTGTCACCTGACTGAGGGAACTGCTCGCTCCACCCTCGCTGCCGGCTCCCAGCATCTGGCTGAAGTTGCTGTCCAGATCGCAGCTACTGGCCGCCGAATCGGCGCCGCAGGGAAAGAGATATGTGTTCAGGGTGCTCAGGGTGGTGGAGGTGGAGGTGCCGGTTCCCGTGAGGGTTCCAATGCGACTTATGGCTCCCGTGTTGCTGTTGCTGTTGGTGTTGCCACCCAGTGGATGTTGCTGCTGGGCATCGAGTGTTGCTGCTGCTGCTCCTCCCCCTGTTGCTGCCGCTGGCTGGTGTTGCAGGTTGAGGGGCAGACTGAGGGGCAGTGGCAACATCACCGCCGTGGAACCACTCACGCTGCCAGTGGTGCTGCTGTCGTAGCTGTGTGGATTCACATAGATGTGGTTGTTGTTGTTGGTGGCCGATGTTGCTGCTGCTGCAGTTGCTCCTCCGGCTGATGTTGCCGCTGCGGTGTTGCTGGTGTTGACCACCAAGGTGGTGTTGCTGTTGCTGCTGCTCTCATGGTGGTTGTTGTTGCTGGCCTGGTTAGCATTGCTGCTGCTGCTGCTGGTGTTGTTGTTGATGTTGCTGCTGTTCGTGTTGCTCAGATTGACCCTGTAGAAGGTGGTGGTGGTGCTGCTGGTGGCATTGTTGTTGTTGTTGTTGCTGGAGCGAGCTGGTGCTGTTGCAGGTCGCGAAACCTGTGATCCTGATCCGGATCCAGCTGCAATAGCCTCCGGTTGGGCAGTTGTTGCTGCTGCTGCAGCTGTAGTTGCAACTGTTGTTGCTGTTGCTGTTGCTGCTGGCACCTGCTGCTGTTGCGACTGTTCGTTGCCATTGTTGCTGCTCATTGCTGTGATTTATTGATGATTTTCAAGGCCTTAAGGTTTTCCCAACTAATGTTTATAACACATGTTTAACTATTGCTTATATAAATATTTTTGAAGTTTTTTTAGTGGTGTTTAATAATGGTTAATTTGTGGTAATTTAGCTTTTTTAAATGTTAAATTAGCTATTATTAGTAACTTCGGTGTGTTCTAGAAACTGTTGAAGTAAATTATTTTAATTTTTTAAAGTTAATAATTAAAGTGAACACTGTTTAACATTGGAAAATGAGGTATTTAGTTTTATTTTCTATGTTTTTTTGGTTTAATTGGTTTAATATCACAAACGGAGGCAATGTCTAACTTTTTTTCATTTTAGGTTGCTTTGTATTAATTGTTTGATGTATGAGTTTTAAAGTTTTAACAGTGAATTTATTGTTTGTTTTATTATTTTAGGTGTCTACTATTTTTTTAATTTTTCGTATATTAATTGTTATTAAGGTGCTTTTGGAATTATAATCTTTAGTTTAGTTGAATCAAATGTTTAACAAAGTGCATTTGTTGAACTGTTATTAAAGAGATTTATTAGAGTTTGATATTCTTATTTCTTTTATTTTGCAATCATGCTAAATGGTTTGTTTGAACTTCTTTCAGGACCCCTCCTTTTACATTTCACAATTCATGTATTTTATTTTGGACTGCATCCAATTGGAGTTGAATGCACTGCTCCGGTTTTTGGTAAATGGTAAATGGTTATGGCCAGACGTTAGCTAATCGCCCAGTTTTCCCTGGCCTTTCCACGCACTTTTCTCTCGCGGCACTCGAACAAAAATCACAGGCGGGGGGGTCAGGAGGTCATTGCAGCTTATCACAATGCAACACGGCACACAGACACTCGAAACACTAGCAAAAAATTGTTTAAAAAATGTTATCGAGGCTTTATCAAGGCTACCACCTCCGATTTTCATTAATTTTCTTGTAATTTATAATTTTTTTTGTTATTAACTCTGTGTTATCAGTCAGAGCCACGTGCTTAACGCGCCGCGTGTCACAATTGTATGAACTTTGTGCCGCGTTGTTGACAATGCCAAAAGCCAACAGCAGCAGCAGTTTCAGTGGCAGTGGCAGTGGCAGAAGTGGCAGCAGCAATGCCACTAGCAACAACGAAGTTGCCACACGCACACACTCACTTCCCCACACACACACACACACACTAACACACACACAGAGAGAGCGAGAGAGAGAGCTCTGTTAACTGGCTTCCTGGCTGGCTGGCCGGGACAAACTATTCGCCAAAAACCAGAACCAAAAGCCAGAAAAGCCAGCACCAAAAAATTAAAAAAAAAAAATGAGGAACAGAAATCTAAGCCAGCAGCACCACTTGAACCGCTCACACACACACATAGAAATATTCATATACATATATATATATCCTATATCCCATATCCTATATAGTATAGGCATGGCAACGATTCCTCATCGCTGTTGTCGTCGTTTCAATTTCGGCCAGTTTCGGTTCAGTTGGGTTCACTTCATTGCTTAACTTAACTAAATGCTGCAGATGGCGGTAACACACACTCGCGCACTCACACACACACGAGCACACACACACACACACATATGCTGGCAGCCCGACTTTAACTCAACTCACAAGAACAACAAAGGCCAAAGCTCGTGAACTCCGAGTTACGAGTGGATAGTAAACAGTGCGGGTCAAAATCGTAGCATACTTTTAAGGGTCTGACAGTCAGTGTTCATAAAGGGAGTCAAATTGATGATTTATTTTATTTAAAAAACTACTCGTTCCCCAAAATTAACAATAATAAAATATTATTGTATTAAGAAAATAGTATTTTTAATCATTATTAAACTATTAAATATCAAAATAATCAAAGTATCAGATATATTTGTAGGTTCTTGCTGATTCTACTTCATTTTGAGATTAACTAGACTTAAGATTGCGAGTTATCTAATATCAGACAAGATTAAATTTAAGCTTGTTAAGCCAAAGTTTTTTCCATTTTATCTTATCAACCAGAACAACAACTAATAAATTTATATTTTTCTTAAAGGCTAAAATGCACTTGATTTTCACTCATTCATTAGACAAAAATATGATTGATTCTAACTCATTTGTAAGTCCAAAATGTACTTTTTAGGTTTTTTTATGAAGAACCTAACATATTGCTTTGCTGTTGGTGCTATCTGAACTCCTATTTATCTGCCCTTCATTGTGCCAATGTGAGTGTGTGTGCGTGTCTGACAGCCGAGGCAACATTTCAATTCGGCTTCGGGTCGTCGTCGTTCGCCGCAGTCGCTGTCGTTGTGTTGTCGCTGTGTTGTCGTTGTGTTGTCGTTGTCGTTGTCGCGTTCGTCATTTTCGTAGTTTGTTTTGCTCGTTCGCTGGTCCCTCGGTTTCGTAACTTCGTCGCTGTGTGAGTGCCGTGTGTGCTGGTGTGAGTATGTGTGCGTTCGCATGACGATTAATGTTAATGTGTGTGCAGCAGCAGCGAAATGCACTGTGGAAAATCAAGGCTAACTGCAATACAAGGGCAATAAAAGATAAGCAAATGTGAATGCATAATTTTCTTTAATAAATTCAGTGTATAATAAAAATATTCTTTGAATAATATTGCTTTTAAGATTTGTACCTTAGTAACAAAAGCTTAGGTACTTCTTTTACCATTTAAATATTTCAATTATTATATTATGTTTATTAAACTGTTATGTTTTTGCTTTAGTGCTTTTCAGAGATACCTTTTCATTTTACAAAATCCTAGCTTGAAATATAACTCTATAAATCATATCTTAATCGTTTAATAAGCAAAGCATACACTATTTTTTGCTGTGTAAAAACAGCAGCTGTGTGGTAAATTATTACCAGCCTGGCCTCGACCAGTGGTAAAAATTCAATTGGGAGCCTTCCTGTTTCGTACAAGGGTAATTTCTTCTACTCTTATTTAAAATTATACAAATAAAATATGTTCCCATGAAAACAAATCAAATATGTGGTCTTACAAGACATTTGCATTATCATTCACCTAATTTCCTCCATAAATTCACCACCAAATGCTTATGGCAACTTATGGCTCGTAAAATCCAAGCACCCATTCATATTCCGAATCAAATTCAAATTTAAATTCCAATATCATTTTCCCCTCCATTAGGAGGTGGCGAGGGGTAAAAGAGGGTCAGATTGTGGCAAGGACGAAGGACAATTGTTGCCGGGTGTTGGGAATGGAATGGCATGGAATTGAATTGCATGTGCGATTGCAATTTGTCGACAGCGGCAGCAACATTGAGCATATGACGCATACGCAATGTTGGACCATGGATCATGGCCGGCTCTTTGTGCCTTTCACATTCACATTCACCGCGTTGTTGCTGCTGCTTTCCCCGTTGTTGCCATGCAAATTGCCCTGGCCCAGTGTCAGTGGTTGGGCGGTAAGGGGTCAGGGGTTAAGTGGGGCAGGGGGCTCCCCGTGGGTTGCATGCTCAAAGACCATGTGGCAAAAGCTGAACAAAGCCAGCACTGAGAGAAAAGAATACTTGTTCTCTTAACAAATAATATTGGCAAATTTATTCGTAAGACAAAAAGGATTAAAAACTTATAGTGTATTAAGAATATAAATGTTTTCATTACAAATTAAAGTTAGAAAATAGGATTTTGTTCAGTTACTGGTTGTTTTTAAAGTAAACCATGGCTTTTGATTACCATTTCCTAGGTAAACAGCATAGTCAGCATTTTTTTGGCCTATTATTTTAATAAAATATCTGGTTTTTGGATTTGTTTTCCCATTTCTTCGCCTGTGAACCCAACTTAACTCAGCTGGCGCCGGCAACCTTCATGGCTAATAAGCAGTCACGGCACGTGAGGAGAATGGCGAAAGCGTTTCTCGAGGGGGGGGCTACTCCAAAATATTATTGATCAAATGTTTGCGAAAGCCACAGTGAGACAGAGGTGGTGCTGGGGGCTGGGAACAAACAAATAAATCGGACAGAAAGCCACGAGTGCAGCGGATTGCATGGCAAAAAAAAACTGAAGATGAGGAAGCTGGGAGGCTGGGAAACTCGGGGGGATCTTGCCCAGCTGGAAGTCGGATGGATGAAGGCACCCGCTCGACCAAGTCATTTGCCTCGAAGGCTGACAAAACGATTTGCAGGCTAAAAATAACAAAATTTATGGCCTTTTCTCCGCTTCCCGCCCCTCACTCACACACTCGCAGCAACGTGTGCGTGTGTGCCTAGAAAGTCGGAGAAATGATGCGGGGGGAAAGTGAAGAGTAGGTTGTTTTTGCGGCTAACTGGTCATGGCCACGGTGAAGGCGACAACGACAACGACAACAAAACAAAGGCAAATCAATTAAAAAATTTTCGTGAAAACAAAACACAAAAGCCGAAACGGAAAATGGAAACCGAACAAAGAAAAACCAAAGACGAAAAGTGCTGGGCAAATATTTCCGCTTCACGTCAAGGTTGTGGCAATCAAAAGGCACACACCACTCGCAAAGGACGCCAAAGGACTCCAAAAGAGGGCCTGATGGGATTGTTTCGTGCCGTCCAACATATCCGCTTTGCCACTTCAACTGCCAACTTGGAACTCCAGGCAACTGCCCGCAAAATCGAGGAAAGCAATATGTTTACACAGCCAGAGGAGTTAAGTGGTACAAATGGAAGAAATGTTAGATTTTCCATAGAATTATGTAATTTAAGCTCTGTCAAACTCTGAAAATGAGCTGTATCTTAAGTAAGAAAATAATATAAATAATTAAAAAAATGTATAAATTTAAATATTTAATCATAGTAAAAATATTTAGGATTTAATACAAGCTTAAAGAACCTACTTTTTAAAAATTACAATAGCTAAAACTCACTAAGTGGGGACTTCCATTAATAAATCCTAAAGCATTACACTGCAAGCAATTCCTTACTGCAAACTAGTCCAAAGTTGAGCTGGGATATGGGGACTGTATTTTGTATTTCTTTATTACACTAAGAAAAGTCGGTTATCGGTTCACATATTTACATCATTCTATAATTATCCTGCATGACAAACTGCTTTTGCCTGTCTCCATTCCGGTGAGGATCGATTCGAATTTACACACAAGCACA